TGCTTGCTTAGTTTGTAGTTATTTTTTCAGATTCTATTGTTGATAGTTGTGAGTTTGTTGTCACTTCACTGTTCATAGACTTGATCTACTTCTTTTTCTTAGATAAGTCTCTAACATTTCATATAAGTGCTTGGTGATGATGGAAGTCCTTTACCTTTACCTTGTCTGGGAAGCATTTTATCTGCCTTTCAATTCTAAATGATAGAATTGCTGGATACAGTAATCTTGGATGTAGGTTCTTGCCTTTCATGACTTTGAAAGCCCCTTGCCAGCCCCTTCTTCCCTGCTAGGTTTCTTTTGAGAAGTCAGCTGTTAATCTTATGGGCTCTCCTTTGTAGGTAACTGTCTTCTTTTGCTGCTTTTAAGAGTCTCTCTTTATCTTTAAATTTTGGCTTTTTAATTATGATGCATCTTGGTGTGGCCCTCTTTAAGTCTAACTTATTTGGAATTCTCTGAGCTTCCTGGACTTGTATGTCTATTTCCTTCACCAAACTGGGGAAGTTGTCTTTCATTATTATTTCAGGTAAGCTTTCAATTTCTTGCTATTCCTCTTCTCCTTCTGGCACCTCTATGATTTGGGTGTACACTCAAAGTTGTCCCAGAGGTTCCTAAGTCTCTCCATTTTTTTTTTTAATTCTTTTCTTTTTTTCTGTCTGGTTGGCTGCTTATTTCTTCCTTCTGTTCCAAATCTTTGATTTGAATCCCAGCTTCCTTCCCTTCACTGTTGGTTCCCTGTATATTTTTCTTTATTTCACTTAGTATAGCCATCACTTCTTCCTTTATTTTGTGGCTCCACTCAGTCATTTCTCTGAGCATCCTGATCATCAGTGCCTTGAACTCTACATCTGATAAGTTGGCTATCTCTGTGTTGCTTAGTTCTTTTTCTGTGAGTTTTGAACCATTCCTTCATTTGGGCCTTACCTCCCTTCTCTTCATTCTGACAACTTCCCTGTGTTTCTTTGTATTAGGTAGAACTGCTTTGATTCCCTTGCTTGGTACACTTGTTATGTGGTAAGGGGTGGAGTTTTAGGCGTTCCCCAGGGTGGGGCAGCCCACTTTGGGCTTTATGGTGCTGTACGTGAGGGAGAGGCCAGAGAGGGAACAATGCTGCTTGCTCAGCTCTTGGCCCATTTCCAGTCACTTCCCCTAATTTCCATAAGCATCTGGTGCTCTTCTCATTGCTGCCCTGGTGCTGATTCCTAGAGTGGGTGGGTTTACAGACACTCTAGGAAACTGTGGGTACTCTACACAGACTCTTCTGAGAGTCTGGCGGTTTCTTCCTCCACTCCAGTCTCCACTGGTTTACAGCCAGAGGATATGAGATTTTATTCTTCCATTGCTGGAGCCCTGGGCTGCATGTTCAGGGGCTGGGATAGCTCACTCCCCAGTTGTCTCTCCTAGTTTTTACATACCACAAGTTAATGTGAGATTGCCCCTTCTGCTGGCTGCCACTGTAGCTGTCTTGCTGCTACCACCCACCACCTCCTTGCCACACCACACAGTGTCCTCTCTGCCCACCTACTTGTCTGGATGAATGTTTCTTCCTTAAATCCTTAGTTGTTGGACTTCCATACAGTTCAATTTTCTAGCAGTTCTGGTTTTTTGTTTTTAGATTGGTTGTTATCCTTCTTATGGTTGTGCGAGGAAGTGAAGGTAGTCTACTTATGCTTCCATCTTGACCAGAAGTCATAATTAACATAACTTCTTAGTGGGTTATATGCTGTGGTGGTGGACTTAGAAAGAATCAAAAATGAATACCCTTCTTCATCTTGAGAAACTTGATGGTACTTAAGGTAACTTCAAAAAATGAATGTACAGGAATAGGACATTATGTATATGTGTACCCTTGATTTTTAAAAACATAATTTTATAGCTAAAGCTCTCAGTTTTTATGCTATTTCTTTTCAACCAATATATTTTTCTAATTTGACATCTTGGCAACAATTATATAATATTTTATATGTATTTTCAGAAATAGAGTAGAATATGATATCAATTTTGTTTATAGGGGATAATGAAGAAAAGAATAATGGCCATGGGGTGAGAGATATGGAGAAGTTAAAACCAACAGAGCTGCCTGCTAGGAATAGTGTCAATTTTTAGTTGAATATGAACAGATATACTAGAAAAAAGTGATAATGCAATTAATAAGGTGGACTTAAGACAACTTTTGGTTTATAGGTAGAAAGATTATGTTTGTAAGATAGTTATTTAATTATTGATTTAAAGAGTTATATGGTATATTATCTAAATGCATTAAATTTCCTTGTATTTCCAATTATTAATCTTGAGAATAAAATTTTCTTAATAACAGTGCTCTTTCTCTTGTTGTGTATTAGAAACACCTGGGGAATTTTAATACCTTCTAATAGCTTGGTGCTGTCTTCCCTCTCTCCTAGAGATTTATTCAGTTAGTCCAGAATAAGGCCCAGGTATCAGTATTTTTTTGAACTTCTCAGGTAATTCTATATGCAGCCAGAGTTGAGTACTATCATTTTAAAAATATTGTACTCAGTATCTAAATAATATGATATTATTTAGGATAAAAGTTTAGGGAGTCATTTTTGTTACTTCCATTAAATATTTGTTTTTTAGTAGTGTTAAGATTTACCTACTGAATATAGTGTAAAAAGGCATATATAATATATTACCTTTTGTGTTAAGAAAGAAGGGAAAATAAGAAACATACACATAACTGTTTATCTTTATATAAACACATCAAGGGTAAACCAGAAAACAATGAAGCTGGTTACCGACAAGGGATGGTGAGGACATGGTATGGAATCACTGGTATGCTGCAATCATTTCTGCTGGCTTACAGGAGCCAATTGTTAATTTTTCTGGTTTTGCAGGTTGGTTGATGTTATGCTGGTGGAGTGAAATTAGCCACCATGGTAGTGTACTTATATGATGTAAATCTGCAAATATTATAAATTTGGACATCCTCCCCTCTTTCTGCCCTAGAGGCTCACCATCTATGGGGTGGAAGGAAAACGAGAGGGAGCACCACTGCTTTTAGTATACTTTTTAAAATATGTATTTGTCTTTTGGAAGCATGTCCATATTTCATATATTCAAAAATAAAAATAAATCAATAGTGGGAAGGATTAAAAAAAACCCCTAAAGCTGAAAGCAAAAAGAAACAAAAGAACCATTGTATTTCAAATGTATACTCTTAACCAAATTGAAGGCAAGAAAAAAGAATAATCCAGGTAACCACAGTATTTTATCAGTCTTGGCTGGGATGAAGTGGGGATGTAGTGAGTACAACAATCTCAGACAGATTCTGAATACTTAGTAGGTTGGTTTACTGTAGTGGTATAGGTAAAGCAATCATGAAACAATTATATAATATTTTATATGTATTTTCAGAAATAGAGTAGAATATGATATCAATTTTGTTTATAGGGGATAATGAAGAAAAGAATAATGGCCATGGGGTGAGAGACATGGAGAAGTTAAAACCAACAGGGTCAGCTAAAATGTTGATATTGGGAGTCAGGGTTTTCACTGTGAAGAAGGTACATACAAATACGGATTGGGAGAGGTTGAAAGAACTCTGTGGGACAGATATGAATTGAAGGTTTTGATGTGAACTCATGATTTAAAATATGTATAGATGTATGTACATATGATATATACATATATACACATGTAATATATTTATGTATATGTGTGTATAGATACACCAATAGATAGGTATATATGTATTCTAGCTGTGTCTGCTAACTGAGCTAAGATGCACGGAGTGTGTAGAGTGGGTGGAAGATGTACCTGTAACATCTCGGTAAGTCAGAAAGTAAGAAATTTATCAAAAAAAAAAGAAAAGATGAGTGTCTATCATAGGAACACATGAAACAACTTGAAGGACCCCTGCTGGTAAAAATAGCAGTAATTAATTATAAATCATTCAAACTGGTATTCATGAGTCCATATAGATAACAGAGAAATAAGTAGGTAGACAGATAAATAAATAATTGGGAGAGAAGGGAGGACTCTTGCTTTAAGTAGAATGCTGAGTGATCACTAATAAATGTAGATGGAGTGTTGGATATCATCAAAATTAAAATCACCTGAGAGGTCCAGAGGACATTGTGTACTTCTAGATATGATATTCTGAGAAAGACTCAACATTACACATTTAGTATTCTGTTTGGAAATACACAATCTGAATATAAGTATGAGCGAGAACCAACTAAAGAAGGTTCTATTTTTACAAAAAGGAGGTGCTATATTCTACTGAAACCTCAATACACAAAGGAAAGCTGTAGAAATGTAGAAATTTAAAGCTCCTACATTAAAAGAGGCTAAAAGTAATATCTGGCCTGAGACTAAATTAGTATTGAAAGGAAAAAATGCTGTAGAGACATTATTAGATCAACAGATATATTTGGAATATGAATGGTAGATTAGATAAAATTATTGTATCATTGATAAGTTTACTGAAGTTGATAACTCTATGTCAGATATGTAGAAAATATCCCTACTTTTAGTAAACACATACCAAACTATTTAGGGATATAGGACCATGACATATATAATTTTTCATTTAATGGTTCTATACATGTGTGTGCATACACACACACACACATATGGCGGGGAGAGAGAGAAAGAGAGAAGAATGGACAGAAAAAAAGAGATAGAAACAGAGAGAGTGGTCAACCAAAAAAAAAAAAAGCCAACAGCAATGTATGTTAACAGATGAATCTGGACCATATCTTATCATTTAGAATCTCATGTTGGGATTATTTCTTTCAAAAAGTCTATCTGGCATAGTAAAGTACATAATGCATTGCTGTATTAATATATAAATAATTTTGCTAAAAGCTACATATTTTATGTTTTGATAGGTACCAGATCTTAATTCATCTACATTCTTCACTCCATTAAGAAATAAATTAAGCTCTAGATATTATATTAGTGACAAGGCAGCTTTTAACTCATGAAGTATGGACATGTATTATTGTTTTTCATTGTCATATTTTCCTATTCTTCGATAGAGATTTGCACCTGTAAAGTCAACCACCACAGGTCCTGGCCCATATAATGAATCTCGAACTGCTTTCAAAATCTTGAAGAAAACACCAGCATTGAAAAATACCCCATTTGGTCAAAGTGCTGCTCGATTCACATGGGACTCCAAGACAGAGAAAATGCCAGGTTAGCAATGAATCCGTGCATTACTACTGTTTTGCTTTATGTAACTAATATTCTTAACAAGGTGGATGCATCAGAGAGTACAATCTTTTTTGTTGTTCTATGGTTGGTGTTGTCATTTTTAAGTCTACAATGCTTTTTTAAAACATTAGCTGTAAACTAAACACAGATAAAAATAACATATAATTTTGGTAAGATTTTGACTTGACATGTTACATATCTTAATTTGTAATTTTCTATTATTTTCCTTTATTCAGTGAATTTCCTAGTTTTCTCTCGGTAGATGAGTATGTATAAAAATATGTCTGTCCATAAAGTATCCAGCCATGTACTATGAAAAATAGAGACATTTATTGAAGAAAGTACAAGGTACAAGATACAAGAAACAGTGCACATAAGACCATGATGCCTCAGTCCCCTTCAAAGTATACACCTTGGGACCTCAGATGGTTCTCCCAATTGCCATCAGCTTCCAGTTGTATTTTCTTGAATCTCATCTAAGTTCTGAAATCTCTTCCCTTTCAAAGATGATTTTAGTTTTGGGAAAAGCCAGAAGTCACAGGGCACCAAATCTGGGGAGGAGTAGGGCTGACTTACCTGGGTGATTTGATGTTTTACTAAAATACTCTGCATGAGATGTGATGCATGAGTGGGCATGTTGTTGTGAGGAAGCTTCCAATCACCAGTTGCTTATAGCTGAGGCCTTCTGAATCATCCAATAGTTTCCTTGGAAGAATGTTCAAACTTAATGCAAAATTTGATGCAGATTCGTTGCTCTACTCAATGTCACTGCCACGGCCACACAGTACACGTGCACACTCAATGGTGTCTACTACTCCTAGTGACTAGCATAGTGAAGCCATCACTGTTCACGCATGTACATTCCAGTCCACTCTCCTTGGCTGTCAGGTTACATCGATGTTGCACAAACTGTTCTTGTTATAGTAACCATTGTTGGATTTTTTACAGAGAGACTACATGTCTATATATAACATCAACTATGTGGTCACTGCTAGAAATATAACTTGTGATGCTCAGTTTTGTTAAAATTCTATTTTGGGGGTATCTAATCATGTATTTTGGTATTCTCAATGAATATTATAGTATACAGAGTTAAGAATATAGCACCAAAATAACACATAATTGTGAACATGTAGTTATTTGTTGCTGTGTTACAATCTTAGTGGCTTAAAATAAAAAGACTGCCAGATTCAAGTTGGCAGCTGGCAGGAGGCTGATGAAGGACAACCTTCCATATGATAAGGGGACCTTTAGAATCAAAGTCAACTTTCTAGCAGAGTACCCATTCAAACCATTGAAGATCACATTTTAAACAAAGATCTATCACCCCAGGATCGATGAGAAGGGGCAGGTCTGTCTGCCAGTAATCGATGCTGAAAACTGGAAGCCAGAAACCAAAACCAACCAAGGAATCTAGTCCCTCATAACACTAGTGAATGACCTCCAGCCTAAGCACATGCTTTGGGCTGACCTAGCTGAAGAATACTCTAAGGGCCATAAAAAATTCCATGAGAATACTTAAGAGTTTACAAAGAAATGTGGGGAAAAGTGACCTGTGGACTAATATCTGCCATGATTGGTTCCAGTGAGTGTGAGCAGAGACCCTGAGGAGGGCATTCAGACACCTCACAAAGCAGGACCCTGGAAAATTGACATTTGCCACAGCTTGGCATTTGCTTGTGACAGTTACTAACTTTCTACAGTTTTCTTAATCAAAAGTGGTGTAGGTATCCTGTAATGAAAAGATTGAAAATTTAAGATGTTCTAGTTCTGCTCTCTTTGTTTTTAAAAATTACTGCTTTAATCTAATCTAAATGAATGGTGTCTCTTTTCTTGTCTAAATTTACACAAAAATCTTCAATTTATGTTTAGGACTTAAGGTTTAACATAAAAGATTGTGGTTCCCTTTCTTCTCCTGCCTTTGCAGTTTCCACTTGCTTGCATTCAGTTTATTTTTCACTCATTTGCTTCCCTAGACCCAGCCCCGTCTCCTTCACAAAGAAGAGACAGCTCTGTCCAGTCTGGTGGTTTTTCATCTCCCATGTTGCACTGCCCAGTGTGGGAGTTCTTTTAAATTCTCCTGGGTCCAGTTTATAACATCCTTTTTAAAAAATTTAAAAGCGAGCAAAAAACCACTATCACTACCACCACCAACTCCCTCAGAAAAATGCTGTGAAAAGGGAGGCCCAGCTCTTATATAAAAATCTCTCCAATGTTACCTGAATAAAGTTGATTAAATGGCAGTCCTGATGTCTGGGTGTGACTGAACTCCAGCCTGGCTCAGTCTGCTTGGGAAAACTCTGCAATATCAGACCCCAGGGGAGGGCCTGCCCATTAGAGGACATTGCACCTGTGTGAGGAATTTCTCTTCAGAAAGGCTCCTGAGGTGAAAGTTTGGCGCTCCTCTCTGCAGCCATTTAAAATATGTACTTGTCATTGCAGACAATGCTAAAGCCAGAATATCCATTTGGAATTCCATGGTCTTCTGTCAGCGAGCTCCATCCAAATGTGTCACCTAAATCTCTCCCCAACTCCTCAGTGCAGCAGTCCCACCTCAGCCCTCCCTCAGCATGCTTTGACCTGCTGTGAGGTTGGAATTGGCAGGACTGGCTATAGCCAGCAGCAGTCTGGGGTCACTGGTGCCCTGCTGGCCTTTTCCTTTGAAGCAGCCGCCAGGCCATCCTAGCCCAGGAACAAGACGGTCTTCCCTCTCTCTCTGAACTCAGAGCCTTTGCAGAGTTAAGCTCCACTTGATGCTCACTCAAAATCCTTTAAGTGTGTTTTATGTTGTTTTGACTGCTTTACTTTTTGTAGAAATAAAAATTGACCTTAGAATTTATCCTCACATGAACTTGTAAGGATTTGAATGTTAATGTCTTTTTCAAAGCAAATGGGATTGTCCCTGAATTAATGGAGAATATATGTCACTGATACCCAGGAGATGTCACTATCTCCACTTTGGCCACTGGTGGCTTCCCTTCTTGGCTCTCTGGGGTATTAGGTTCTGTGCAGAAATGGCTTAAAGAAACTTTGCCTTGTTTTAATTTTAGTTATAAAACTTGAGATCTTTCCAGGGCTTATGTCCTGTAAGACAGCTTGGTTTTACCTGTGCAGAAATGGGAATGATGGGCAGCTTAGGCAGCATAATGTTGTTTACTTGTCTAGGTGTGTGGCCCCTGCAGTGTGTCAATGAATTCCTCTTCTTTAGTCTTAGGTACTCAGGGGGCACGTTCTGGAGACTGCAGTATTCTCTGGGAAAGCTGGGCTAGCATTTCTTCATTTGTCTCTTTATTAGAAGAAAGGTGATGATGGACTTTATTTTACACACAGATTTATAATAAAATGTCCAATTCTGTCAGAAGCTATCCAAATAAACCACCATTGTTGCTTCTCTGAATCCAAAATTATTGCCATTCTTGGAAACCGTCCCATTGCTTTGTGTTTCTGCCAGCGTAGTTTTGCCTGCCTGTCATCCTTCACTTCTCTGTTCACCATGGGAGGTATCTCTGTCAAAGTTAGCAGCCTCTCAGGGGACTCAGCCCTGGCATTGCACCCTGCAGTGTGCCCCAGTCAGCAGAGGCCTGGCCCTGGGACAGCAAGGCCACGGGTGGTCCATCCCTCTGGCCTGGGTACTTTGCTCCATCCACCCTGAAGCAGTTCCAGTGGTTGCCAAGCCCTGGGGGCAGGCTTTGAGCATTTTGGAGTCCTGGCAGCTCCACAACCAAACAGTTGGGTCTTCTGGGGACAGGGGAGAGCTGTCACCACTGACCTGAGCCCACCAAGGAATTTACACTTGCCCGAACCAAACCAAAAGTAGGCCGGGCGCTCCCCCGCCTCCCTGCCCCTGTCCCCCATGGCAGACTACAGGCTTTCTAAGATGATGCGATCCCATTCTGCTGTCCTTAATAAAAATAGTCTCCAACAAAAATAATAAAATAAAATAAAATGAAATAAAATAAAGAAGAAAGACTTTTCTAATAGATCTCATTATTTTGTAGGGCAGCTTGAAGACAGGGCTTGGATGGTGCTGTCATTCAGAGTGGGTGCATAGCTCCAGCATTGCTGCCCCAGGGTAGCTGGTCTTTTAACATGGTAGCTTAGGATACCACAAGACCTGGCAGGATGCTGCAAGGCCTTTTATGACCTACCCTCAGAAATCCCAGGGCATCACTTCTGTCACATTCTGTTAGTCAACCAAGTCACTCAGGGCAGCACATATTGAACAGAAGGATATGAAACTTCATCTCGCAGTGACAGGGTTAGCAAAGAATTTGTGTCCATCTTTAACCTACTCTAGACTACCCTCTGGTCATAAAATACTTAGGTTTTTACTATATGCCTTCTCAAGGCTTCCAGAATCTCATGGAATTATGGTAAAATCTTGAAGTCCAGGATTTGTTATCTGAGTCATATATAGGTGCAAGTGAGGATCTTGGGTATGGTACTTCAGGTCAGCTTCTTTAGTTGGATTCCTCTCTATCATAAGAGCTGTGAACTAAAGATACAAGTGTGAGCCCCACACATTCAACACACAATGGTGGGATAGGATAGGATAATAATAATAGACACATATTCAACAACGAGGGAAAATTGGAGGCTCAGAACAATGATAGGGATATAGCAATTCTGAAATCCAATCAGGGATAAGTTGCCTTTTCCTTGATTAGAGAATGGTTTTCCATGGTACTTTGTTCTGCCTTCTGGCTGTTGGTTTCATCCTTTGAATCATCCTTCCTTTCTATAAGAAATAGAAATTTTTCAGCATGCTTCCTGTACATAGAAGATTGGGGGGTCTATAAGCCACTTTTCACTTTGCACCGTTGTTTGTTGTTTCTTTCATTCCAAGTTAGTACAATTTCTTACAAAAACTTTGTAGATTTATTATTGTATGAATTTATAATCAAATATACTGGACAAGGCCATACTTACATGTATTTCTTAGAAAAACCCTTGTCTGGTTTGGGTCACCTTTGGTGATGTTG